CCAGATAAACATTGGAGTCCGACTTTCACTGCATATCTATCGCATTGCACGAAAATGGATAGATACCCTAGAAAGTTTATTGCAAAATACGGAGCGGCGTTGAAATAATTCAGAACAGAGTGGCAGCACCTCGGAAAAAGCTATTTTGTTTCCTGTTACCAAAATAGTAGACAGATGCAGTGCAGGTTGAAACAGGTCAGAAGGAAAGAACGTCAAATTCTGCCTTCCCCCGCCCCCACTTCGAGTGCTTCACGACACTCAATGAAACCGGTCTACCGATAAACTTGACTCTTCAATTAGCTCTTTCTGTGTTTACCTATTTTAGTGGACTTATGGTAGTAAGTAGTTTGGATGGACTGCAAGACGATTGTTTGCCATGAGAGCGGAGCATGCACCGAAGAATTTGGCGTTTAACGCGTTCAAGGTTCCGCTCAGTCCAATCGCCTTTAATACAGTGGATTGCAAAGAATGTGACAAACCTAGGAATGTCTTTCGNTCTTTCGTGTCTTTATCTGCCAGAATGATAGCAGTGTAATTCTGTCCGCCGAAGCAGCTACCATTTGACGTCACAAGTCCGATTTGTGTAAACAGACCGCATTTGTGTCCAGCCTCGCACTGCCCGGCTAGGTCCTTCCTCCCACCCCACCCCCACCATGCAGTGATTACTCTTCCTGCTCCCATGTCCAATCCGGTCCAAATTAGTGAGATTTGAGCTTTGCATTGATTGACTTATCGTCCCGGTGTGGGTTCGCTTGTCCTCAAACCTGTCACTCTTTTAACCAAACGTGATCGGAATGCCTGTACACAGCTGAGGAGATTGCAACGAGATAGTTGAATTCAACACATTCCGTCTTTTCGCTCCCATGAAAATGTTCGAGGGAACATAAGTTACGTTACCAGTTGTTCGACAGCGTGACGTTAAACTGCTGGGGCTTTTCAGGGCCGGTTGGCTCTATAGGTGAAGAACTTAACAGCACAGCTGGTTGGCCTCACAAAGTTTGCCGGAGAACCTGAGGAACCTAGCTAGTGTCTGTATTACCTTGCCCGAATTGCGTAACTTCCGATTCAGAATGCGGATCGTGTGGTTTCGGTGACTTTCCTACCCAATCGTTGCGATCATGTTCTTGGTGAAAGTTATCTGTAGACTTTTTAAATAAAATAAATTGCATTCAACATTTGTCAACGTTGAAAACCATGATGTCCATCCGCATTCCCAAGCTCATTTTTCCGTCGATTTTTCACTTCCATTCTGCCGAGTTTATCATCAACAAAATCATTTATAAGTATGGTCAAAACAATTAGGTACACAACTCCTCAGACTGGTGAATGATGCGCGTCCAATCACATTTATGCAGTGAACCGGGAAGAAGCGGGTTTTATTTCATTTCTATACAACGTTCTCATTAGTAATAGGGATATGCCATGAAAAATGTTTATGGTTGAAGTTGCACTACCTAGGCACCACGTTGTCTTTTTTTATCGGTGCTGCTCGTCTGATCCTTATACAGTCAAGTACTACGATCTGTTCAGAGACATGATGACGGTGGCTTTGTTTTGTGCTGGAACAGATCGACACATATCACGACTCATTTCAAGGACACCTGGACGCCCATTTTATCGCACAAACACAGAGAGAGCGCTCACGCGCCATCTTTTGCCTCACGAACTCCCGTTGCTTCCTCGGACGTTCCTGTACAACCGCATTTCCAGTGAAGTAATACACTCCTATTCATATTTTATCATTCAAGTGGCCTTATTCAGATCTCTGACCTGAAGAGGTATTCCATAGAGCAGGAGTCCATGAGTTGCAAACTCTAGATAGCCTAGCGCTTCCGCGGCGAATCAATGGTATACTGCCCTTAATGCATCAATCCTTAGTTGCTAGCATTGGTTTCCCTTTAAACACCAATAATTATTCATGCACTCTCGTGTGGCGGTTTTGTTTACTGTCTATCTTACTCTTCTTTCAATCTGAATGCAAAGTTAGAGGGTCAATGTGCAAAATAGAGCCCATCCTGGTGAACTAAGCCGGTTGGAAGGACATTGACTGAGCAGATGTGCGATGTACGTTTCACAGCATCTATCGCCGATGCTCACAAAATTTGTTTGTCAACTAGTACAAGGGAACCGAAACACACAGAGGGAACGATGCACGTCTTGTACGATCATGATTGTGATTCGACAAAAAAAATGTTCAATTTCCTAATGTTCTCTATCATCAATTCGCTGAGAATTCGTGTTTTTTTTTCACGGATTCAGAATTTACGTGTTGAAAAATTAGCACATTGTACCCAAAGAGTGACGAGATGGGGTAGCTAGGTTCGTGAAAATAAATATTCGAAAGCAACGAGAAAGATCCGGTGTTCGGAATACGTTTGCAAAATTTTCGTGCGTTCAATGACCCGAGGACTCGCTGGCACTTCAGAGAACACTTGGTGCTGCTTATCAGTGGGCGATCAAAAACGACATGGAATTCAATGCGTCACAATGTACGGTCGTATCTCTTCGACACAAAACTCGGTTTCACTACTTCCTGGGATGTCAACAACTTCCGTATATCTCGAATCAGAAAGATCGTGGTTTCACTTTTGAAGACGACTTTAAACTGCTCCACTGCTGCAAGATATGTTGGTTTGTTAAAGCGAGTATTTGGCAAATTTGAACCTTTGCTGTTCCCACCTTGTTATCAGTCCACATAGTGTATGCAATTCAAGCGTGGAAGCAATGGCTGCAACGCGATCGTAAAATTCTCGAACGTCAACAATGAATGGCCATCAAAAATGGTCAAGGGACTGCAAGAATTATGCGGGGAAAGACTGAAATCATCGAAGCTGTATTCCACATAGTATCGCCGAATTCGAGGAGACTTGATTTTGGGATATCAAATAACGCAGAATCCTAAGTATCACCCAACACTCACCGTGAATTGTATATCGATCCATTTGTGCTAAACCTTATGGGACAAGAAAATCAGCCACTTGCAAGTACTTCCGCGTAATAAAATAGTTTGATTTCGACCACATCGGGGATAGAGACGGATATTTCTCTGAGAAGTGAACGTAGACCAAGCATGAGAGCACCAGACCCGTTTCATTCGGTGTTCTGCATTGACATCAAATTGTTGACAGTAGACTTTATAGATTTTCATTAGCTTCGATCTTCTGACAAGTTCAGATTAACCTTAATATAGGATGGTATCAATGTGACAGTTGTTTTACCTCTATCTTGTTTGTAGCAGTGATCACTGGCTCAATTGGGTATCTGGGACGTTTGATCCCATCCGAAGAGCGTATGGTCCGATAAACTGGACACCTCCCTACTGCATTCAGGGTAAGGTTTGGGTTAGCAGCTTTGCCGCCATCCGGTTCAATACCACACCTAACCTATTAGGACCTTATGTGGTCCGCCACTCCAAGTCCCAGAGCTCAGGTTACCGGTTTCTACCAATGAACAGCAGGTCCTCGTGACTAAGGGGGCTTGCCCCCTCTGTGTATGTAAAAAAGCCTCAGTATGGTCGCGGCTGGTTACCCCTCCCGTGCACATTGCGAAATATTCCCATACGACCAAGTGTATCAAATAGCTTCTGCCAAGGAAGCCCCACTTATTGCCTGCACGTGACGGAGGTGTTCTCCTACCAAAGCGAGAGGACGAAAAGTCAATATCCCCGTCGGTGAACCACTGGCAGTTCATCTAGGTGGAGAGGTGGCTAAAACCCTGATTCCAAACCAACCAAGAGGAGATGTACGAACCACACTCACCCCAAGCCTGTTGGTCGTGGTCACCAACTCGATTGGGCATCGAGGTGTATTGAGCACCTTGGGCGTTGGACCCCGTCCGAAGAGTGTATGATCCAATGTATAGCGGATTTCACACGCTGCCCCGCTACTTTGATTGGCCGACTACTTCCGTTGTGAATTCACTCGCTCTGGTCTGGTAGTATCCCAATCATTAGCAAATCATGGACTCTTCTTTTGTTATAAAGACTATTGTAGTACACACACAGTCTGAACTCAGATGCGCGTAAAATATAATACATATATACGTGAAAATTAAAAAAAGATTTGCAGAAATTATGCTATTGGATATTTTGAAACATGGATATCAGTGCCAGCCGGGCGAAAAGATGATGGGTCGATACAAAACGAGTCGTGATTGAAGAACAAACGCAGGGTCGGTAACAAAATACGCGAAAAATAGATGGATGAATGAATGAATGAATGAATAGGGTAAGAGAAACTGGGGTGGGGGAGGGCGAACGGACGGAATAAACAGTTTTTTTCAAAGTACGATTCAAAGTCCACACGTTGAAAATTAAACATTTTCAGTGCATGTCAAATTGAGAAAGCTCAACCAGGACAGGAACAAAAAGAATATAACTCTATGCGTGATCGTTCACTGCTTGAAAGACTTTGTTTTCATTATCAAACAACACTGATTGATGACCACAAAAGAAGACAGAGCTGATGAGAAGAAACAGAAAAGTCGCACAAGGTGGTGATAAAAGCAGATAAATTAGTGAGAACAGCATCAGAAGTAGAAAAAAAATGTGAAAAGAGCGAGAATGCGCTGGAACACAATGCGTCGGAAACGGGCTCACGGAGCCTCACACACACACACACACACACACACACACACTGGCAGTTCGATTTGGTTCAACTTAGGCAAGACTAGGACGAGTAGAAGTCGCTCATCTCTTGTGTGAAGCACCGCGAGAGAGAAAGAATAGTGTGTGTGTAGGGTTAGGACGGGATAAAAAGAGTAACATCAAAATGAAGTCGACCAATTAGGGCAGAGGGCTGGAGGAACCACGGGAAATGCTTTCATCAAAGAAAAGAAATTTAAGTCCTACTGATTCAACCGCCAGCTGTGTGTGTACCGCAGGATAAAAATCTGATTCGGTCAAGATTTCGGTATTCGTGGTCCATGGAAGTCCGGTATGGTTCCACATGTTTTTCACGTCCCTGTATGTGTTTGCGTGCTAACACGTCGAAGCATATGAATCAAATGCGAACTTGCAGATCGGCATTCTCGGGTGGGATATCATAGGTGCCACGAATCAGTTGGGACACTGGAATTGAAAATGAGGACAAAACAAGGATTAAAAAGTTCGTCTGGTTGATAAGAGAAACACCAGAGAGGACAAAAACGAAACACGGAATTAAACCTGTTCATCAGAAATGACAAAAGTGCACAGACACTCTTTAGGAGCCCGTTGGCTGATCTAAGGATATCGATCAGTCTCCGCAAGCCTCAGTATGGTCGGGGTGGGTGTCTGTGATTGTGACTGGTCACCATTCCGTTACAACTCGCGAAACGCTCCTATTTGACCAAGCGTCTCAACACAGCCTCTGCTAAGGAAGCCCAACTCACTGCCTTCTCGTGGCGATGTTTTTCCATCAAAGTGAGAGGACAAAAAGCCGACTTCCGCGGTTGTAACCGGGTTGGTGAACCATTGGCAGTTCACCTAGGGGAGTTGACTAAAAACCCTGATTCCAAACCAACCAAGAGGAGGTGTACGAACTACACACATCTTCCTAGTTGTGGCAGTGATCACCGGTTAAATTGGGCACCAAGGTGTATTGGGCATCATGGATGTTTGATCCCGTCCAAAGAGCGTAGGATCCAATGAACTGGCCACTGGCCCCCAATAGACTGCGGACTCTGAGCACCATTCTGCTGTCTTGCAGTTTTGGCTTTCCAGCCAAAAGCTTCGAGTGGGGACCCCGAGGTTATCTCCCTTCATCGGTCAGGGCAACCAGGAAGTAACATGCCCACACAACCCTATGAACACATTCTTCAAATTTTTTTTTGTTCATATAATGTGACAAATTGACCAGTTCTGTGCAGTTGGGTACGTATTGAAAAATAAATAAATAATAATCGATTAGTCCGAAAAGGGTTGTGAATTTTGTGACAGTCGAGGGAATTCGAATTGTTCAGTACAGTGAAATGACCGTTATTTTCAGCGGTGACCGCAAGACGAATGATGACTGTCTACTACGGATTACATAACTCTGGTAGGACGATTGGATGAGCAGTTAGACATCCAGTATGAGGTAAGTGCGGTCACTGGCGAACGCTGAAGTATATTGTCGAAAAGCCTATCGCCGCTAATTGCCATGAAGCTAGTTATAAAAAAACCCAGATAAATATGACCGTGAATAGCGAAGTAGTCAGTTAGACGATGGCCCAACAGCGTAGGGTCAATGGTTGGGAAAACGGAAACCGGTTGACGGATGGTAAACAACGCGAATCAATACGGTTATGCAAGTCTCTCCCAACGGTCAAATCGTGGATATTGCTCAATCTATTTCTGCTACTACACGAACCCATTACGTAAAGACTCTACGGGATTTGATAAGCCACGAGTTTGGCTCTGATTAACGGGGTTACGAGCTCTACTAGTGGTTAAGGCTATCCAAATAGCAACCTGGCGGTCCTGAGTTCGAACCACGCTACCTCCTCCGCCCCCTCCCTCCCCCATGTCCTCCAGTCCTACATTTTCCCAGACAGCATTTGTATGGTTGCGGCTTCCCTCCTGAAAGTTGACTGTACAAATCAAAGTATTTGCGGCTATTGCTGGGCTGCTATATCAGACGGTTTACCAGACGGAAAGAACACTTGGATCCCAGCAATATGAACTCAGCCTGATCATTTTCAGCAACCTCAATACGTAAGCTAATACGTGTACATCCATCCACAGGGATAGACCGCTGACCGTTGAGAGAGATTCAACCAAACGCTAACATTGACAATCCATTGGTCGGACGGATACCTGGCATATGCAGACTCATTGTGTTCCAGACAGCATTCGCTGTCGCGCCCCGTGTTTCATCATACATGGGATCTTTTGCAAACACCGAAACGTGATATGGGAAGCGCAAGTGTTTTAGTCAGTTCAGCGCAGGTTACCATAGTCTGGCCATAGATCTGTGTTCACTTCTTGAAACGTACAATCAACATGTATTATGCACATGAAGAAGTAGGTAAAAAACGATTGATTTCAGACCATCCATCTCAAAGGCATACGTGCCATATCAAACAGCACCTTAAACGGAAACGAGTCCAATCCCGTGAGAGGTACCCAGGAGTACCTTTGACGGGCGCAGAGTGTACAAATACCATTGTGAATTCTTACTGAATCAATATTTCAAGAGTGAAATAAGGCTTTTGACTGAAATACAATCGATGGTCATGAACGTAAGAAAACCGATTCCGTGTCACAACGCCGATGATTGTGTGGCCATTACAGGTAATACATGTGATTGATTCCTGTAATGTGTCAGGGTATGATCCAGAAAACATACGGTTCTCTGGATTTTAGCCGGTGCTGTTCAAAGTTGAGAGCGGTGCAGCACAGTCAAGGACAACGTAGACGGTAGGCACGCGGTTAGGCTAAACCGATTCAGCTGCAAAACCTTCGTGTGGAAAGCGCTGAACAGCTGTCTGAGTGCCAAACGAAAAAAACGAGTCCCATGCAAATACGTAAACCAACGAAAACAAATCCGATCTTTAAACGAAGACCTATGGAATATGATTCCCTCAAGATAAACAAGTACGCCAGTTTGGCACACTGATCACTTTCGGATGGGTCAAAGAAAAACAATGAGCCAAATTCACTTCAATTTTTATCCTGTGATCACGGAGTATACTTTTACAATCTTTCATGTGAGTGAGCCGGCTGTACAAGACCGAATCGGAAGACTCATGTAGGGTGTGGTCAAGCGGTTTAAGTCTGCTGTCGAAATTACCCACGTTCGGATTCCATCCGTCTGTAGTACCGTGGCTCCGATGTTCCCTCAGCAAGCGAACCATCTCAGTCCGAATAGACGGGGACTTACCTCGACCATTTCTGGTGTTACCAAAGATTCCATATTTTCACCCATTCTCTTTCTTCTATTTATCAAAGATCTTTTATCCCAAACCTCTAATCCCATCCACTGCTTTGCCGATGAAGCCCCTTTCCATTGTTCTCTTTCTTATCCCACGTTCCATCAAGCTACTACCAATATCGCTAAGTGCTTATCTTGCCTCCGATCGCGGACTAATCTCTACATGGGGTTCTACCACCATGTGTGTTTCAATGCTTTCAAAACTTCTCTCTCTCTCTTAGATGCGTCCCCTATTCGCCTCAGTTGAATTTTGACTCTCTGCCCCTTCGCTCCACAAATTCTCTCTCTCCTCGGTTTACCCATAAATTCTTCTCTATGTTGGTCCTCGTTTATTTCAACACCTGCCTCTCGCTCTTCGCGCAAAGCCCGATGCTGGAATGCTGCAGTCACGGATGGGGTGGAGCTTCGTATTCCACTCTTTCTCCCCTCGACCGTGTTCAACGTAAGGCCATCCGGTGGATCGACGAACCGTCGTTAACTTCTAACTTGCAGTCGCTTTCCCACCGCCGTTGCGTTGCTTCATTATCTCTTTTCTATCGTTACTACTTTGGTTTCTGCTCTTCTGAACTCGCTTCAGCGGTGTTCCTTCCATTGACTTTTTCTCGTCCATCTCGTTCTCAGGCGACCAGTCACTCTTATCAGGTTTCTGTGCCAAGATGTCGGACTTCCATCTTCCAATCTTCTTTTTTCCCGAGGACTGCAAAATTGTGTAACACTCGTCCCATTTCCAAGTTTTCAAGCCCCTATAACCTTACCCTTCTCAAGAGCAGGATTAACAAATTGATTCTTACTTGAATGTTCCCCCGCATACCTTCCCCTTACAGTATATCATTGTTTATGGGGGTTTAACCCTTTTTCTGTAAATCACTTCGTGTGTAATGAAAAAAGTCCGTGTCATTAGCATGCTTTGCGCGATGGTGGTGGTGGTGGTAGCACAGCGGTTTAATCGCTGTCACCGGCGTGCTCGGAACCTACGGTCTGAGGTTCGACCTCCGCCACCACCACCCAAATTTGGTGGTAGGCAGCTTTGCTGTCGTCCGGTTCAATACTTAGCGTAAGCTATCAGGGCCTTGTGTGGTTCGCCCCACTCCAAGTCCCGGCCGCGGCTTAGGTTACGGATTTCCATCACTGAACAGCAGGTCCTTGTGACTATGGGATTTACCCCGTCAGTTGTTTATCACACTAAANAAAGCAACCACCACCAACCTTGGTGGTAGGCAGCATCGCTTTACTCCGGCTCAATATCACGCCTTTTCTAATGGGGCGCTATGTGGTTTGTTACTCGAAGTCCCGGAGCGCATGTTGTTCGGTATGATAAGTAGCCATTAAATGCCTGGTGATAATGGGTCCAACTCTTCTGTATTTCATCGCACAACGGCATGTAATAAAAACGATGTGTAGTCGAATCAATTTCGTCAGGGCCAAACGACAACAGAGCAACATAGATCAACACCGTACATTGCACGTATCAGACACATCGTTCAGTGGAGGTCAAAGGCACTTTAACAGAGAGCAAACACATGGCTCCGAGTGTGCAACTCTACCCCAGACCAACACCATCTCGACGTCGGGAGCTCCAGTTTTCATTCAAACTCAGAAGACGTACCTTCGACAGCTTTGTGTACAGCTTCTTTGGCCTCTATTAAATACATGCTGACCAAGCAGAACAGAAAAGCACCCAGGACACTGACAAAGGGGGTGAGAAAGAGCGCGCGCTGTAAGCTCAAATACTGAGCCTCGAGCGAGGTGGAATCCGAGATGGCCACGGAGATCTGTGCGATTGGAATGAGTGAAAGAAAAAGACGGGGACGCGGGGAGGGGATGCGAGAGATGAATGAGGACAATGAATAAACAAGGGAAAAACATGAACTGTGAATGTGAACGTGAAAGGGCTGAAAATCACACAACTACAAGGTCCGATTCATGAAGATGAGAATCTAACGTTCCACAGAATTCAATTTGGTTGTTGCTAAAATATCACAAACCGTGTAACTCTCTGCGGGCAAGAAACACACACAGCCATACCACTCAGTACTAACAACCATCCGTTACGCTGATTCTGAGGTCCCAATCCAGGGATCCGAACTCAACCTATGTGACCGAGTCTCGTGGTCAGGGTTTCCATACCCTCATGCCAACATGTCTTAAGCACGTCTTCGGTTCCTGTTTTGTCTCCAACCCCACTGTGCTCTTCAACTCTTCTTCCATACATCCGGCCAATCCATTCTACCTTTCATATCAATCAGAAAGATCCACTAAACTCTTCCTGGTTTCAATGTATGTAAACCACCCGGTTCGGACGGTATTCTATTCATCGTCTTGAAAATGTGTACTCCGGCGTGAGTCTTGATACGACGCTGTTTTTTCCGCTTTGCCCTTGATCCTAAAACTTCTCTACTCCGCTCCATAAAGAAAAATGCCATTATTTCTCCTATCGCATATGGTGAAAATCCTTCCGATCCCAACAACTCTCGTTTCAGCGGTTCCGCTTCATTTGTTTCAGTTTTCGGTTTGAACAACCATTAGTCATACACTTTCGTGCGCCGGTTTTGATTGCTGTCTTTTGACTGCCCATTTGGATAACCACCACGAGAAAGATAGTACAGTTGGGAGTAGAGTGGAGTAGAAAAAAGGAGAGTTTCCGTGGACTAATGTTGCAAGGAAATTGACCAGATACCCGAGCACCATTGTTTACGACACTCAGCCATATCACTCAGTGTCTCTAACCAACGGGTACGATCATCCTGAGGTTCCCAATCGAGGACTTATACTCCTGCTCTATAAATTGCCCTATTAGAGTGAGACTGGGTGTTGGAACAAGACAATCTTGTAGTAACACTTTACACTTTGAAGGTGCAAAACACATAACGAATATGGCTACATTAGCACTCAAACTATCCAGAAAAGTTTGCAACTTCACTTAGTAGCACAATGTCGTCTGCATACTCTAGATCAGACAATCTGCCACCTGGGAGTAAATCGATACCGCTATCCTCGACTTCGGCTATTAATATAAAGGGATTGGAATATTGGAATAAACTTGTCGGGTACACCCTTCATTCATACTTTTGTCGTCCATCTCCATCTCGCTTGGGTAGTCATCCCCATCTTCTTTTCTATCCCCATATGTCCTTCTTCTATCTCTCGGTTCTCTTTTATCCCCCGGAACTGCGAAATTGCGGAATGCTCACCCCACCCCCCGCCCCATTTCGATAGTTCTAAACACTTGGAATAGTACTTTTTCAACAGCAAGATCAACTAATCGATCATGTCACAGAACTTCGCCTGCCCTGAATCCCTTTGTGCAACAAAGTAATACCTTGTTCATGAGGTGAACAAACCGCAATCTGTCACCTAGCAGAATCAACAGCACTATCCAGGTTTATTCCAAAAACAAAACAGAAAACGCCACACACCACATACTGATCCCCGATCAGAACAAGTCTGCAAAGTGTCTCTAAACCATGGGCGGCTGATAGCATTCATGAATAAGATCGCACACGAGGATATGAAAAAACCCCTAAGCGGAGTTCTCGATTACAACGGACCGCATTGAATAGACTTTCTGGTTGGGCACCTTGCGATTAATCCCGTCCCCGGTTAGAGATGTTGTCTAAGGTTCGTCGAGAGTGCCTTATACAACGGTCGAGAGATAGATTGAGGGTATCTGGTGTAAAATGTGACACGAAATAGATTCACAAGTTTGATGACCCGTGTGACTGTGTGTGAGCGGAGAAAAATCAACGTGTCCGAGTCGTGAATTAGTGGCAGTGTATCGGTGTGTCTGAAACCACCAAACAGTCAGATTCTCAAAAAGGTCCAAGTCCACATCTTCGTTTTTAACTGCTGCAGGTGGATACGATAAACAATTCAAAATTACAGCGCTTCATTCTACAGTGATGACCAGCACGAGTCTCCGTGGCCAAATTGAGTTCAATTTCGGTCTCGCAAGCACTGATGCATCGAGGCACTGAGATTTATTCTAGTTTCTGAAAGCCTCCGTATCGTCGAAGTGGGTGTCTCGGGTTTTGACTGGTCGCCATTTCCTCATCTCGCGAAATGCTTCCATATGACCAAGTCTCAAAAAGCCTCTACTGAGGAAGCCCTCCTCACTGCCTTCCAGTGGCGAAAATGTGTTTTCTCACCAAAGTGAGAGGACGAAAAGTCAATATCAACCGGGTCGGTGAACCAGTGGCAGTTCACCTAGGGGAGTTGACTAAAAACCCTGATTCCAAACCAACCAAGAAGANTTGACCGCGTCCAAAGGGCGTATAATCCGCTGAACTGGACACTGGCCCCCAATAGACTGCTGACTATGAACTCCGTCCTGTTGTCTTGCAGGTCTGACTTTTTAACCAAAGGATTCGGGTGGGTCCCCGAGATGATCACTCTTCCTCAGTCAGGGAAACCAGGAAGTGTCCAAACAAACTGGAAACAAATCCTACAATTTTTTTCTTCATATGTTGTGGCACATTTACCAGTTCTGTGCAACTGATTACGTGTGGAAATAATAATAATAAACGATCCATTTAATGCGTACATATTGATACAGTTTTCACGAAGAGGGAAGCGGTTAACCCAAGGGCTCCTATACAACACATAATGAGGAAAGTCAGGTGGTGGGATTTAATCATACGTCTTCCCGGGTGATAAGTTGATGACGTCAACAACAAGTAACCACCGCTTGGCACCCTCTCACCCCCTCCAAATGACAAAACGAAGAATAGGACTGGAGAAACTTACCGCACCGACAATCGTGGGACTGATACAATCACCCAGCGCGTGCGTCATGATCATCTGTACAGCTGATGCGGTGGAACGACGGGTCGGAAGAACAACNCAACACTCTGAAACGGTAAATGCAAGGCGGGGAGGGGGGAGCGAGAAGAGATTATGGCAGTACAAAAGACAAGATTGGTTGGTGAACAACAGTAACTGAAAGCGATTACGCAGCGGGGGAGGAGGGCAATTTGCGACATAAAATCGGAAAAAGCAGTTGGCTGGGTGATCAAATAAGAATAGATCAGGGCCACCCGTGTGGGTTCGTGGCTCATGCGAGGGATGGAGTATAAATCGTAAGATGCATGTAGTGTACACGCATGCGTGGGTTCAAATCCCACTAGGTCCGTTGATCTTATGAGAATTGAGAATCACGGACTATTTGACCTTCACAACCATTTTCGTTATGGCAATAACACCTCATTACTAAGAGTAAAAATACCTCGACCACGGCATATAAACGGATTTCATTTTCCTGCCATATACACCAGAGAATAGCGAAAACGGAATGGCGTAAACGGGACTAAATTTCATGTAAAACTCTTCCCTCAAGGGGAGGGGGAATGTGAGATTTCCGAAGTGGGTGTAAAAAAATATGTAGTTATTTCCTAGTGCATAGTGTAGCCAATCATTCTGGATACAAAGATGTCTATCCCGAGAATAACCCACACTTTGTTGTGATACATTCAATATGTGTTTGGGACGAGGAGAACGGTGTGTGTGTGTGTTCATGTACCAAAGCGAACTAACCCATAAAACCATGCCCCTTTGAATACGATCACCTTTGTGACACGGGGTTAATAGTGACACGGTAAACAACCAAATCCTTTGCAACAACCCTCTTTATTACATACTGAAGTGTAATGAACAGCAGGCGAAGAGGACCCCAGTCACAAAAACCTACTGTTCAGTGATGGAAACCGGCAATCTAAGCCCTGGAACTTGGAGCGGCGAACCCCATAAGGCTCCGTAAGGTCAGACGTGGTGCTGAACCGGACGACAGCAAAGCCGCCTACCAACAAAGCTGGTTGGCGGTGGCAGGGCTCGAACCTGGGACCATAGGGTCCAAAGCACGCCCTGGTGACAGCAACGAAACGACTGCGCCACTACCACCTTGACTAAGAACATGTTTATATATCTAAACCTAATGACGAACTACAACGGATAATCACAGCGTTTGGTACAAAGAATAACTCCTGAAAGGTAGACTGGAGTTCACGCATCGGTCGATCAGAATAACTGGTTAAACTAGGGTGTAACCAATCCACATTGAATGCGCATGTCCTCTGTCCGAATGCAATGTTCAACAATTCGACCCACGATGACCGACGACCGAATCACGGGGTTTACGCACCCAGAAATGTGTGCGCGCGCACCTGAATAATTATCGGAACCAAAATCATAATTACACATTCGATTTAAATAATACGCTAATTGACCTTAATACATCACAGACAAGGCCACGAAATACGTGGCTTTGTGACAAATGAACAAGTGTTGTGGGCACATACTACGTCATGGGCGTCGGAAGCCAAATGATACGTTTATTGCGCGGAACGATATGTATGATCATAAAGTGATTCAGTACACATCGATATAATTTTTATAATTGATGGAAATTTTTACACAAAAAGTCACAATACAAATAATCTCCAATACCCAAAACATTTATTTGAGTCACGTGACCACGGACTGTAATACCCGACCATGCAATCATAGTGTTCAGTGTTCACCAGTTGAACTGGTATGTGTCCAACCCTAAAATCTGAATATCCGTGTGATGAATGAGCTAAATTGTCATGGTCACTCCGTGAGAAAGAAAAATCATACGACAAAATCAATCAGATGAACAGTTCCGCTTCAGACGAATGTCGAGTGTGAAATAACATGAGGGACAAATTCCATCACTGTGTGTTGTAAACTTTGCTACATTTGGCACAATCGTCCTCACGAATCGGATCGACCTTTGACCGAACGAGTGCGACTGAGATTGTGGATGATAGTGCCATGAAATGTATGTAAATGTCTGTAATTCTAATCGATGTGTGTGTAAGGCAGACCTCACACAGTGTTGAGTTCGCCTGTTAAGTGCATCGGTTTTTATCTTGCGCGCTCAAGTTTAACTTTATTTTCCTGTTCAAGCCGAAGATCCTATCTATTTGTGTTCGGATGGAAATTGATTTCGAACTGAAGATTGTTCAAATAAATTGAAAAGGTGTAGTTATGGAAAATGTTATTGGTTTTACATTGGCAGGTTTTGTTTGAAAAAGGAAGCGGGCAGATGATAATGTTTCCGCATATAAACATATCATGTTGGTGATGTATTAAAGTGAAGTGATTGGACACGTTTTATTATGTTCACCAATCGTTTAAATTCCACCATACTCTATTTTTCGACGTGCCAGGATCCGCACCGTGTCAGTGAGAATACAAGCCAGATAGGAAACTGTCGAGTTGCGGTAATGTTTACGCGGGAGGGTAAGCAGTGATATTTGGATCGGGTTGTAGCTTGGGAACGCCAAGCAGATAAATCGGGGTTAAGCGGATGACTAGGGTCAGTGAGTATCTTATGAGCGAAATTCTCACATGAAGTGATTTGCAAATTACACAATTTTGTGATCAGAGTGTTTAAAGGAATAAGACAAACACGGCTGATAATTACCAAACCGCGACGTAGAGTAATGAAATCCTTTCTGGGTAGTCCAGGGA